ATAATAATAATAATAATAATAATAATAATTCAGAAGTCTAAATATTTTTAGTACATATTAAAAAAAAATTAACTCAAAGTACTAAATATTTAGAATTAAACTAACAGCAAGATTACAAGTTAACCACGGTTGCCAAGAAGTTAAAGCCCTTCACAAATGCAAAATATTCCTTGCAGGAATTTGTTTTTGAAATATCAGTTTCTATGGCTGCATTGGATCGATCTGCATGATTTCTCCGGAGATTGTATCATTCTCTAAGGATTTTCTTGACGATATCCCGTCAAATGAAAAAGTTTTTCATACAAGTATTTAATTCCAATGGTTCAGTTATAKCAAATATATGCTATATATGTTCCGATCTGAATTATTCTTTCGGAGCTGGCATCATTGTTTAAGACAATAAATCATGCCAAATTGCTTGATGATATCTCTGAAATCGAAAAGTTTTCTATAAAAGCCTTGATTTTGTAGGGTCAGTTTGTATGGCAGCTATATGCTATGGTGACTCGATCTGAATTGTTTTCTCGGACATTGCATCATTCCTTTAGGCAATAATACTTGCCAAATTTTATGAAGATATTTCTTCAAATGAAAAAGTGTTTCAAACAAGCACTTGATTCCGGTCCTTATGCTACATATAGTGGTCCGATATCGGCCGTTCCGACAAATGACCAGCTTATTGGTGAGAAAAATTTCAGATCGATATGTCCAAAACTGAGGAACTAGACCTGAGAAATTTTAATTGGCCGAGGAACTAGTTCGTACCATAAGGTAAAAATAAAATAAAATTTAAAAAATTAAGTTTCTAATTGAAAAATTAGTTAATAATAAATATGAAATTAACAGAATATGACATTACAACAGCTGACTTGTGGTAGCATACTGATTTATTTAAAATAAATATAAACAAAGTGAGCTAAAATCTTACTGTGCTTGGCTAACAGTACATACGTACTCTACTGAAATAAAATAATAATGCCGACTATACTTTTTTATGCGCAAATGTGCTAAAAAACTACTACATTGCCTCTCTCCCACCAGGAAATACTAAAGAAAGCAACACCATTCTGAAAAGGCAGCCATTTTCCTCTATCAAATAGGTGCATAGAGGACGATTTTGTATTGTAAATTTTGAAATTTTGAAAATTTGAATTTTGCAGGGGCATTAGCAGGATGCTTGTGTCTCAGAGCTGACGCTACATAAAACGCCAAACTTGCTGTCTCTCTCTCTCTGTCACTCTCTCTCTCTCTCTCTAGCTTTTAGGAGCAACTTGCGTTGCTTGATTTGAAGCTTTTGCCTCGACTAGCTAACTAGCTATATATATATGTATGTAGGATTAAAACTGTGTCTGTATCTGTATCACTGCCTCTGCCTAAATAATCAAATTCTGCAAATTTGCAATTTGTTCAATTGTTTCAATAACTGTCGCTCGCCTTGGTGGGTGCGCACATGTTGATTGAGGATGGCCTTCTGGCGAAAGTGCTTGCCGCACTCTGGGCATGCGTAGGGCTTCTCACCCGAATGGATGCGTATATGTTGGTTGAGTATCGCCCGCTGACGGAAGCTGCGCGAACAATAGCCGCACGTGAACGGTTTCTCGTTGGCGTGTATGCGTAAATGTTGTGTCAGATGCGATTGTTGACGGAAACGTTTGCCACACTCCGAACATGGATACGGACGCGCATCGGTATGTATGCGATCGTGCTGCAGTAGTGTGCTCTTCTGTTTGAAATCTTTGCCGCAGGTCAAACACTTGAACAAACGCAAATCGCTGTGCGGYTTCGGCGGTTTATTGGGATTTGGATGGCGACCGCGTCCGCTGCCGGTGCCAGTACCTGTGCCCGCGCCACCAGCACCACCCGTGCCAGTGCCAGCGCCATTGCYATTGCCGGCGCCACCTGCAGCGCCTACAGCACCTTCACCGCCACCGCTGCCATTTGCGCCGCTGTTRTGTGCATTGCCGCCATTACCGCCAGCGCCGCCATTCTGCTGACCATTATTGCCTTGCTGATCACCACCGCCGCCGGCGCCGCCTGGCAGCAGCTCGGGCATGGCGTAKCCCTCGAGCCCACCATTCTGTTCCATGGCGTTCGCCATGCCGGGCAACACCGGTTTATTGAGATAGTGTAGTGCAGGAAAGCCGGGTGGCGGCAGCATGGCGCCTTGCGGCGCTGGATGACGYGGCGCATAATAGCCGCCGAGTTCACCGCCCTGCGGTGTTTGGAAGTTATCGTTAGGTTGGCCCGGCTGCGTCGGGCCGCCATTCTGTACRTGCTGTTGCTGTGGATTCCCCGCGCCGCCATCGCGGCCCGTGCTCTGATGTTGTTGCGGGTCATTGTTGCTTTGGTTTGGATTGGATTGCGCCGAGTTCTGCTGTTGGCTGGCCTGCAGGTTGGCAACCTGCAAGTAAAATTAGCGCGCATATTATTAATACAATGCATATTTAAAAAGTTCGGTGACAGCTGCTACTCCGTTATGTACGTACCTGATTCATGGTGACATCATCGTCGGGTGGGCCGCCGCCGTTGACGCGCTGCTGCGGCGGATATGGACTCGTCGAGGGCGAGCCCTGCTGTCGTCCCACGCCATCGCCATTTTCGCGCGGATCGCCCGTSGGACTTTGCGGCTGTTGGCCTTGTTGTTGCTGCTGCTGYTGTTGTTGTTGCGCCACCGCCGCGGCGGCTGCTTGCGCGGCGCTCGCTATCTGTGCGGCTGGGTTTTGGCCATTTTGTTGTTGTTGCGCTTGCAAATGTTGCTGTGCCTGCTGCTGTATGCCCGGATACATTTCGCTGCCCCACTGCGCGGCCGAACCGCCAATCGCGGCCGGATTGCGTTCGCCATCCTGCGAGTCCTTGTACAGCACATAGGGCTGGCCGGTGTCTTGCGTGATGCAATACATTATTTGTCGCGGTACCTTCAGTCCAGCGGCGATGCAAGCCGCAAAGGATGCGGAGAAATTGATCGCCATATCGCTGGAGGAAGGAGTGTGTGAGTGTGTGTGTATTGTGATTGTTGCTCCGCCCTACGTGGTGTAATGTATTATAGCGCGGGTTTTTGTAAAGCTGCTGGGAGTTTCTTCTTAGTGTGGAGTGCTAAACTCCTTTGGCGTAGATTTTGTTATTTTAACGGTAAATATTAGTGTTTGAATTACACTTCGTGTTGTTATTGCTCGTCAAAGCCCATTTTGACCGTTTCATTCAATATACTTTTACTGCTCAGCTGCTCCAACTTTGCTGATTTTGTTGTTGTTGTATTTCTTGTTTCAAATATTGCTCTTCATTGGCTGTGATTCGCCGTTCTCGCTTTGTAGCACTGCCTGCTTCAATACAGCTGCTGGCTGTGCTTACTCGTTACTGTTGTTGTTGTGTTTGTTGTTTCCAAGGGGTTACTCATATTTTGTTGGGTTTTTAACTTTTATTGCCAGGTGTGATTTTTTTCTTAACGCGCTTTATTGACTTTCTCCTCAAACCTTGTTTTWGTTTTTTATTAAATTTTATGCTTTGTTGTTTTTGTTTTATGATTTTTGTGTTTATATTTTTATTTTATTTGACTTTACACTCTAATTGTTATTTCTTTATGTTCTYGCTAAAAATCTTTACTCCTAGTCCAAAATTGCTGTGTTTTTGTGTCYAAAGTTAAAATCTCTCGCTTTTCATGAAATTCTTTTCAAATTTCGTAGTTGTTTTTGGAATTCAAAACCGCTTGCCAGTTTGTAGTTRTTGCCTGCTGGTACAAAACTGTTTCCAACACCGTGCTTGATGAAATTGTTTCTGAAAAATATAAGCATGTGCATTAAGTTATGTTACAATAAGGTTAGAGAAAGAATTTGCAGAAAATATTAAAAAAATAAGAAGCAGATCATTGCCTAAAATGCAAAACAACATATGATCAAAAACAGCKAAATTGTGTTTTTATTGATTGCGATTCCTGAGATCATATTACATTTATRTAGCAATACATTTTCAGCTTCCAATGTCAGATATAGCTACTATATAACCATTATATAACCAATATAACCAATACATAACCATTTTATAACCAATATAACCATTTTATAACTAATATATAACCAGTTTATAATCATTTTATAACCAAAACTCAAATTTTATTTCAACACGAGTAGTTTCTATTAAATCGTTTTTTCTTCGCCTGTAAATTTATCTATGAAAAATAAAGATGCGTTATTTTGCATTTTAGGTGACGATATATGCAATCAATTATATTGTAATAAAATTATTAACGTTTTCTATTCTTCTATTTCTTCATATATTAGCCTTCATTCCGTGTAGCGATTAACGTTTACAGTCTTTGATTGGTTCAAAACGGTTGCCCCGTGGCGGTCGTCTGAATGTGCTGTACAGCCAGAAGTCACACGACGCCAAAATCTGGCGAATACACTGCCTGCGGCATGAAATTAGTTCAATTTTTGGCGAAAACTCACGAGGAATCAATGTAGTATGCGGCGGTGCCTTCATTTGGTGCAAAACCAAGAGCTGCCCGTCTATAATTCCGGTATCTTTTTACGTATAGCTTCACGCAAACGACACATAACACACAAATATTTCTTCTTTACAGGTCGGATGGTCGTAAGGAATTCGGAGTGCACTCCCCCTCCATAATTGAAGCAAACTGCCAACAAAACCGTGTTTTTTAACCTKCTTGGCTTTTTCGGCTGCAGCTCAGCTTGGCCACGATATTCAGCCGATTGATCGTTTGTTTACGGGTCGTAGGCATAGATCCAAGACGCAACGCCAGCAATAATACGTTTCATGATATCCTGGCAGTCGGAAGGCATTGTTTCACCAACGTTAACGCGGCGCTGTTTTTCGAACAAATTTAGTGAGTAGAATCGGTGCGCTTTTACTTTTCTTGAGCCTAAACGATCTTTAAAATTGGTTTTCATTGATCTCTTTTCAGCCTCCGTGAGCAAAATTTTACTGGAACGGCTGGAACGACCGAGCGAACTCACCTAACTCGGGAGATTATTTTACACTAAGGTACTACGAACCAATAAAAAATAGAGAAGGCCATTTTTTGAAGGTGTAGCACACAAAAAACGGGTATTGAATGAAGTGAAGCGCCAGCTGAGGAGCGCATGTCGTGAAAATTGAGACATATGTATATATTATCCATCAGATCTGGACTGCCTAGTTGTCAAAAGTAATTATCAAACAAAAAGTTGGATACTACGATCAAAAACTAATCGTTTATGGACAAAATGTGCCAATTTAAAAGTTTTGGACAGGGAATAAATAGAGAGGACYCGGAATAGATGGAAGGATACTCGGAAATCCTCTCACAACCCATTTCAACACCTTCCCTTAGAAAAAATAATCATTTTGACGATTTTATTCTCAAAAATCGGCGATTTGGTACACATTTTTATTTTTCTAAATTTCTGTGTAAATCCAAATTTAAAGTTTCTTCAATAAAAATATGCCCCAAGGGATTCTGCAAATTTCTGTGTCTTTACTTTTGCTCTACGACCTTTAGTTTAGAAGTTATAACCATTTTTATATTCGCATGATTTCGGCGGTTGCTTTCTGCATGCTCCTGGTCGCCTGATAGAAATTTTGAGATTTTGGCACCAAATTGAATGCAATTTTTCTGCGGCGGCGGCGGGTGCACTACAAATTTTGTAGCATACGCAAAGGGGCCAAATTTGGAGGGCTGCTTGCTACATGCTCCTGGTCGCCTGGTAGAATTCTGGGATTTWGGCACCAAATTGAATGCAATTTTTCGGCGGCGGCGGCAGCGGATGCTCTACAAATTTGCGTGGTGGGTATAGCATACGCAAAGGCGCGAATTTGGGGACACGGATGTGAGCATATAAAATGTCCGGRAATGGTGGCAGGTCCTTGACTTCCGGTTTGGAACATCCGTTTCCKGTYCATGACTTCCGGTTTCGTTGATAAACCGGAAGTTGGACATCCTATTTCCGCTTCCGGTACAAAACATCCGTTTCCGGTTTGTGACTTCCGGTTTAGTTGTTGGACCGGAAGTGGGGTGCCCGATTTCCGCTTCCGGTCAAGGACCTGTATCCATATCCGGCTGTTACATATGTACACATCCGTGTCCCAAATTTCGCCCCTTTGCGTATGCAATACCCACCACGCAAATTTGTTACGCATCCRCTGCCGGCGCCGCCGAAAAATTGCATTCAATTTGGTGCCAAAATCCCAGAATTCTACCAGGCGACCAGGAGCATGTAGCAAGCAGCCCTCCAAATTTGGCCCCTTTGCGTATGCTACAAAATTTGTAGTGCACCCGCCGCCGCCGCAGAAAAATTGCATTCAATTTGGTGCCAAAATCTCAAAATTTCTACCAGGCGACCAGGAGCATGCAGTAAGCAACCGCCGAAATCATGCATATATAAAAATGGTTATAACTTCTAAACTAAAGGTCGTAGAGCAAAAGTAAAGACACAGAAATTTGCAGAATCCCTTGGGGCATATTTTTATTGAAGAAA